TGATTCTTTATGTCAGTTGTTCCACAAACACAAATTTTAAGTTTTCATGTAACACTCATGCCTGTGTTTAGTCTGTTCTAGTGTGACGTTTATGCAAAAAAATGTTTACTGTCTTTTAGAGCATGTATGTGCATAGCTTTAAATGGGAATCTTGCTTTCCTATTTAGAAATTTGTTTCTGTGGCAGTAAGTTGGCTTTTCCAGTAGCATCCAGTATACCTATTTTCTTGTTCCCCCCCCAAAAACATATACCAGTAAACATAATGCAAAACAACTTCAGTTCCTAGTTTTTCACTTGTGCTTTGCATATTACCACTCTAACCTAAAAGCTTAGTACAAGACTTCTTGTTTGTTTTGTTTTGGTGTGTTATGGTATGGTATGTTCTCAAAAGGCAGTTACCAGTGTCTTGGCAAAACAGTCTTTTGTTCCTATACATTATCTTAACTGCACCCAGTCTCTGCATATGGATGTTTTGTGGCATTAAGAGCAGATCACTTGTGCAGAGGTATGTAGAGATCTGATGCAAGAAACGTCTGAAGTAGTTTCCTTGCATTAGTGTCTTTTTAGTGACTTAAATTGCAGCAGATGCAAGAAGCGATTGGGTGACAAATCAGGAAGGACTGTTCTGTGAAGTTAGTTACTGGAGCCTACAGGGCCAGTCGTTTGAGAGAGTGGGAAGAACTTCTGCAACTACATATGTAAGAGGATCATTAGAGATCTGTACTTCATTGGTCAGAGATGTGAGGAGCAGGAGTAAAAGAGCTTTAATTTGTTGTGGGCATTTTCTAGAAATGAAGACTTCTGATTTTTTTTTTAAAAAGAGTATTTCATTTCTTGATTCCTCTGTATGTTTTTAAGTTATTTCCTTATGAGGTTCTACCATGCAAGTGTGGATACCAATCTCACTGCAGACCTCACATATGCTACCTTATCTCTGCAGCTATCATTTTCTGGCAATATATTAGCCAAAAAGACTTTTGTGCTTATAAGTGTCACCAGAGAGAAACTGTGCAACCTCAAACTCGGAAATATTTCTAAAGGTTAGATCAGTAAATTAGAATGTTCTTAAGAACACTGTAAGAATTACAAGAAAAAAAAATCAGTTTGAAACGCTATGAAGGATGATTGCCTGACTTTTTTTTTTCCCTTTATGTAGAACCTGATTCATCTGAAACCTGGATTTATCATGATCAAAATACTGTTTCCTTGGAAACATTCCATAAAATTAAACTTGTTTTCAGTTTGAAATGAAAGACTCGAACTGTCTATGGCATATTTTGAAACACTTAGAGAAAAAATTTAATAGCTCATTTCTTACTGTGATTGTGTAGACAATAAGACTTTTGGATTACCATATTCCTGCAAAATTCTGGGTGCAGGCTAACTATATTGAAGATGAAATTGAGGCACCTTGTTGTTGTGTTGTATTTCTGACCTTAAAATCTAGTATTAGTAAGGACAGAGTAGGAAACAGTAGGAGGACATTGTTTGAACCTTTAGAGCCTTCAAGTTGGTCAATTGCAAAGCCTCTTAAAATGTTGTTTAGTCTTAAAATTCTTACAGATACTGCAGTTTTTCTTCTGCTTTCACCTTTTTACTTAACTACTTATTTGGCAGTAAAACAAACTGCAGCCACTGGCATGTATAATAAAAGACATATAACTGACGTTTTTCAGAGTATGTATTTTTTTTCCTTAGTTGTCAGCTGATGTGGTCAGGATGTTAGCAGTTGTTTTGTGGGTGTAAAATATCTTTGCTTCAACTCAACTGCTTTGGGTTCCATACAGAAAATTAGGTAACTTAGGCTTTACCTCTGTGTGGTGTATGGCCACGTTGCTTTAAATTTGTAGCCTGTGGGTGAAAACAAGATCCAGATACCAGCTTGAGTATTTTTTATCATCATCAAAACAACTTGGATTTCAAGGTATGATACAGCAGCTCTACCAGTTATACTATCTTTAATGTAACCTGTAGGCCCAGTGAAAGCAGGGATTTGACTTTATGGACACTGAGCTTCCTTACGAAATTCAGAGTAGAGAGACTTTTTCTTTTTTAATTACTTACATTTATGTCTAAGTATTTTATTGGTGTTTAAAAATAGGATAGAATATTTATGTATATTGGTTTAGCAAGAGAAATGAGGTTTAGCACTTGAATTCATCTTTAGCATTACTAAGTTTTCAAAGGTACCCGTGATTTGATATAGTTCTTGAGATGTTGTATTAAGATCTTAAGGAGCAGGGTGAACAGTATATAGTTATCTGAATTCTGATTATCATTGTTGACTTCCACATTTGAAAATTTTCTGTACGTTTTCCACATAGTGATAAGACAAAACAAAAACCCTTAGTTTCGAGTAGAAATGAGAATTGTGTGTCTTACATGAACGCTGTTCGTTGTTTTTATTTTTTCTTTTTCCATAACAGTGTCCAGTTCTATACTAGCTCTTGTTACTAATTTTTCTTTTTTGTTGTTGCTGTTGTTTGTTTGTCAGTTTATTTTTATATTTCTCATACTTGGTCTTCTTGGGCATCTGCATAGAAACCTTGGACTCCAGCAAAAATGGGTGAATTCAGCTCTTTGAATGGAAAAATACTTGAAAATTGTTACCGTGAGGTTGCTGCTTCTCATATTTCGCTGCAGGGAAGCATAGACTTTTCAGTCTATGATAGTGGAAAAACATCGTATCATTATGTGTGTTTGGTACTTACTTTGTGGCAAGAAGCTGAATCTTGGTCTAATTTTAGACTTTTGTAGTTTTGCAGTATTCTGAAGAATTTGCATATGGCTTGCAGTTGTGACGTGTCAACTCAACGGTATGCTGAGATTTCAAAGTGAAAACCTGGAACAAGAGTAAATAGAATTGGAAATGGAAGATAAAGAGTACTTGAGATGCTCTTGCTTCCCTGATCCTTAATTCTAATTTGAACAGACTTTAAATCAATTTTCAGCTTTGCTCTTTTATTTTAGTCTCTAATCGCTTGACTTCATGAATCCTACAACTAGTTTCACACATTGTTATTTATAACTTTGAGCTACTTTAAGACTTGAGCAGTTTAATGAGGTGCTGAGTAGCTGCAGGAGTGACCAAAATGCCTGCACAGCCTGAGCCCAGTGCTCGTGCATCCATACTGCCCTCCTGCGTTTTGATGGTGGGCAAAGAGAGGGAAACTTGAACACCTAGCTCGGCCACTGGGTTTCACCTGGTCCGGGACACTTACGTGTTTTGGCATGAATAAAATTTATGTATCGGAAGGTGTTTATATCTGAGAGAAAATCCACTGTCTGCATATTAGTGTCACTAGAACCATAGTATTTTTAACCTGTGGTGGTCAATTTCTGCACAGCCGTAATCCTGTATCTGTAAGTATATTGAAATAAACTTTTTTAGGAATATAGCTCACCTTGAAAGACTCTTGCAGTTGATGGACTTTTTTTTAATAATAATTTCAGAAACAAGTCCTTCAATTTGCTTGAAGGAAACTTTACAGCAATTTGCAGCCCCTTCACTAGAGTCCCTGGTGTCAAACTCTAGATTCCTCAGTAACAGTTCTAGCTTTATTGTCCAAGATGAAATGTTAGGTTTTTCCACTTGCTGCTTTCATTTATAATTGTTCTGTTGACTCTGCTGTTGCAAGGGTGTCTCAGTAACATCATTAGCTCTGCAGAAGAGACTAATCCTTTTGTTTGTTGCCCTTTGCTTCAGCTCTCCAGCCTCCTTAAGTGGAGTATCTCCAATATATATTTTTGAGGTTTCATTATGTTTGTTGGGGAGATGTGTGTTTAAGTTAGAAAATGTTGGAGTTGATCAATAGAGAAAGCAGAAAGCCTTTTACACAGTTAAGCATATGACTTACATGATTTCCTACACAGTTTCATTCTGTGTGTAGTTAGTGTGTAGTTAACCTGTTAGGTTAACCTGTACTTGTTAGCAGAATAATTCCTTAAAATTGCATCTTTCTTGAAGAGAATCTGAAGGCCCGATTTGAAGTCTTAAAACTTTTTAAGTTGGCACAAAGGCATATATTTTGTCTCATACAGCTTATTTCATGATAGATTTATGTCAACCAGTTTGAACTGGTGTCAGAATGAGCAGTGTGTTTTGGTAAATGAGGAAATGTTATGTTAGGTGATCTTTGAACATTTGCTTTAGTTACTAATTTGGATTTTTTTTTGAGTGAAAGTCTAGCCCTTCATTATGCTGTCTAGCTTTTTCTTGTTGTCTTGGGCTTGAAATTGCTTTTGTATCTATTTATTAAAACAGATTTCACTGTTCTCAAGTAGTGTGATTTGGGGACAAAAATGCAATGTTTTGACTTTACAATATTTTGTTCTTAAGTAGTTAAATTATATTGCATGCTTTTTTTAAACGTAGTGTTCATAAAGCTGACTTTTGGACTTTATGTAGCAATAATTTGATTAGATTTAAGATTATTGACTAGTACAGTAAAATATTTGATGCCTTTTGTTTGCCACGGGGTTACCAACAACTAAGTAGCTTAGGCAGGATATTTCTCCAGGTAGGCTTGTGCTTTGTGCCCCAGGCCTGCAACTGTCTTGTTGAAAAGGATACATTTTGCTGCTGAAATAACACAGATTTTTTTCAAATATTTTGTAAAATCAGTCTTTTCAGGTTGTCTGCAAAGGATGATTAGGTGATGAAGTTGCCCTGTTTAGGATTTTACCCCTTTCAAAATGAGAAGTGGCCTTTGGCATTCCTCAGCCCTGCGTTACAGGTTATCCCTGTCATCAGTAATCTCTGTAGATAACCCAAAATGCCTGAAGGAGAAGAAAGTTGTCCTGCAGAGAAAGGATCTGTCTCTAGTAAACCATTTAAAGCCGGCTGTTCGGTTCCATTTCATTTATGCCAGCATTAAATGGTCTCTCAGCAGCTTAATTAGTATGTGATTAATCAGCAGTGTTTCTTGGCAATATCCTGCACACGCACACATTTTTGTTAAGAGACAGATTCATTTCTTTTTTTCTTTCATTTTTTACAGTTACATGGGAATTGGGCTTTCGGCACAGGGTGTGAACATGAATAGACTACCAGGTATGTTTTAGTATTTATTAGCTTTGGTAGGTTACTTATATTGCTTAGTTTTGTTTTTGAAATGTATTTGACTTTGGGAAAGTTGTGGTAAGTGCTAGTGAGCATAGCTCTACATTCTATTTATTTATCTGCATTATGTAAAGCATCTTATTGTTACTTATAATGCTATGCAAAAACCCTATACCAAACAAATTAATAATAAAGATGAGCAGCTATGATAAATTTTCTTGTCGAGCATAAAGTGAGATCTGCTGTTGTTTTCAGTAGTGTTACCTTTCCAATTTTAATGGTATGGCTGTGCAATGAACTTTAAGCTTTCGCTTTCAGTTCATTTATATGATCAGGGACTGTCATGACTAGTATGTGCGTGTGATATTTCTGTATAATAAAGATGTCTCTGTGTGTATTTTTATTTCAATTCATGTTTATATTATAAAGGAGAGATTTTTTTAGAACGTGTTACTATTAACCAAGTATAAGTTTATGCTGAAATGACCTTAAAATATCAGTATTCTCTCTTTTGCTTTTTTAATTTCTCACTCAGATGCCCTACTAGTATTAGGGTAGCTCAGATGCTACTCTAATACTAATGCAAAATTCCAGTTACATTTGTTAACACATAAAGGTGATGAGTTGTTAGTGCATGGCATTAAGCTTCTTCTGAGTAAGATTTATGATGCAATGCAAATAATTTATCAAAGATACTATTAATCAATGTAACTGAAATAATTTTTTGGTAGTTAATTTACTCGGAGATGCTTATTGTGTATATAAATCTGTCATGGATCATACTGATTAAAAGCCAACATAAAGATGGAAAAACTTCCAAATTAAACTGTTTTGCCACAGTTTGGCAGAGGTGTGGAGGGGAAACCCACAGCCCTCTTATTGTTAAAAATACGTAAAGTTGTCAGTATCAGTCATCATACTCAGAATGCATCTTACCCTATGAAATTTGGCAATTTGTGTTAAGGTTGTGCTTTTACTCAGTCTTTAATGTCATGGTAATGTATTCACTGAAGTCATATTCCTTAATCCAGGCCCTTCAGTTTTCTCAATGGATATGGAAATTGGATTGGAATTTGAGTTGTGGTTTCTTTGTATTATTTTGAATAGGCATTTGATAGATCTTTTGGGAAGATATTATAGTGCCTAAAAGTTCAGTTCTTTTCTAGTTGCTTTTACCTAGTAGTGAACTACAAAGAGCCCAGACGGGATTTTTAAAATGAACTCAGACTACGATTCCTTGCTGACTAATATTTCATTAAATGTAATTGTATGAAGCTTGTTAACTGGTTCTGCAGCTTCTTCACCTGCAAAATTAGCACTGTATTTGTACACATTTTGGTTTGCTAACTGTGACTTTCACATGTTTTGGGCAGTTTTGTTGTCGTCTTCCCCCTTTTAGCTTTTTTTGAGACAGTGAAGCTAGTGACTCTGTAGTCTAGAGACTGAGCTATTCTGAA